TGCACATGACGTGCACATGAAAAAATTTCGTGCAATTACGTGTTCATCGATTTTGCGTGTATGCGGATTCCGTGCAAATGATCTGATTTCTGTGCTTTGGACGTGCTATATTTCGTGCAGTCATGTGCAATGACGTGTAAAAATTTCTTATAGGGTCGTTATAGAAAATTACTACAGTCTATTTTATTAAAAAACACATAACACTTTTTATACTGAACTATTATGAATTTCCAAAATTGTGAGTTCATTCGACCGTACATAATTTATTAAAGAACAAACGTCACAAAAAACCAAATGGTTAAACAGAAATAAACTAAAGCCAAATGACTAAACAAAAATAAATAGAGTTATATTTTTAGAATGTCAAAATTCAAATTTATTTATATTATTTTATTTATTGTGTATACATTGTAAATTCCGTTAAATATTGCTTATATTAATTGAAAAATAAAGTCTTAACGTTAGAAAAAAAATAATCGAAGACTTAATTTCCGGACCATAATCCGGACTATTATCCGAACGATCATCCGATCCAAACCTGGTACGTACACATTTTCGGAGTGCATAAGTTTTTGATTGATTAATAAATAACATAAATTTATTTTTAATAAATCTTTTCAAATCAACATTGTTAAAAAAACTCAATTGAACCCAAAATGCAAAAGATTACAAGTTTTATCGACTGATGAACGAAATCAAGTTGAAGAAACTTTACGTGCTACGTATGCAGAATTTAAGGAGCAGCACTATTTATCTAAACAAGTCAGTTCATCAACATCCAAATTTGTTTCTGTAACTAATCAAAGAAAAGCATGCTTACCGTAAAGGGTTCATTAAATATGTTTTTTTCATCAAGCTCACAAAATCAAAATAATAACGAAGTTACAAATTATCTTGCTCTTCCTGAGCTTGATTTTGAGGAGATCTTTACAAAAATGGCAATTTCCGATTTAAGTGAAATGACCCGAAAATTTCTTGCAATTCCTGCAACAAGCACACCAAGTGAGCACTTGTTTTCAGATGCAGGAAATGTTATGAGTGCGAAAAAACGCTATTAAAACCGAAGTTATTTGGCAGAATGTATTTCTAAAGCGTAATATGAAAACAATTGATTTTACTATTCCTGATGTCTAGGATTAATGCATGGTTGTTTTTATAATATAAATCGCAAATTATAAGTCATGTAAATGCATATTAAATAATGTAGCGGTAATAGTACAGGTTGCTTTTATAATGCGCAAATTATAAGTCATGTAAATTGTATGTAGCGATAATAGTTTTTGTAATGTCGCAAATTATAAGCCGTTATACTAAATTCTTTTATGTTTTTTTTTAAAAAACTCAATGAACATTCGAAACTTATCGATTCCAATTTCTACCCAAATGCTCTTCCATCTTACATTTCATATAGTATATGGAAATTTTATGATTATTGCATTTGGTAAAGCTAAAATTTATTTAATCGTATTTATAAAAAAAAAAATACTCATTTAATATTATAATATCAATGCATCCAGGTCGGATTACAACGTTTGCGGGTGAAGTGCTCAATGGCAACATTTATATTATATATATATATTTATAACTGAGTTACCTTACTATCAATAAGTCAAACTACACCAACACAAAATACTCCAACAGGTGGAATTAGTATTGGGATTGGTGCAGTAGCTCTTATTGCAATTATTACAATTGTTATATTTAAATTTTATAAAGGCGTTGTAACGCTTCAAATGTCATTCCAACACCTGGAAGTACCGTACTTTATGATTAAATATAGTATAATATAATATGATATAATTTTATATATTTCAAATCTTGTGCAGTAAGATTTTTTTGAGTATAGGTGCTTTTGTAGTAAAAATAATATAATAGAAAATATTAGAATAGTGAAGTAACTAATTTTCTGTTTGCATATTTTATTCAAAAATATAATATCAAATTAATTTTGAAAATCTATCACTTTTATTTAATATATTAAAGTTATAGAATTACATATTTACAAACAATAAATAAATGATGGATGCTTATCTCCCAAAAGCAGGGCCTCCTCCCCGTTTTTTCCGTTTAAAAATCGGTCTGGATCACTAAGTTTAAGTTTATTGATTCTATTTAATAAATAGTATAAAATTATTGACAAGACTATAGCAATAAATAAAAGAAATATAGAAATAGTATTTCCAAATTTATAATCCGGCGCATCTTGAGGTCTATATAAATGTACAGATATCATTCCACCAACATTGCCACTAGCTACTAGCAATGCGCAACCTACTGCGCGTTTCAAGTCTCCTGCTAAATTGTTTGTTAGCCTTTTGAAATTTAGAGAATGAGAATATGGATAAATAAATTGAAAAGATATTTGATATATAGAAATATTAAAATCTTACCACGTTGTTGCTAAAGGAGTAGATGAAAATACTCCCATTCCAATAATACAAGCTCCAGTGTATCTTACTAAAATACAACATATTAGTATTAACCTCTAATACATTTAAGTCAAAATATATATAATTTAAAAAATTGCAGATAAACTTACAAATAACACTAGAATTCACTGCATAAAGTAATATATATCCTGTAATTGTTATCAATGAACTAAATATCAAATATGAACCACGAGCTTTGTATCGATCAGAAAATATCGCAATTGTAATCATTGAAATACATCCCAAGATACATGGTGGAACGGAAAGGAGCTGAGAAGTAACTAATAAAATAGTATAAAAAATAAAAGTAAAGTGAAATTATTGTTGTATATGTATAAGTGAGAACGGAATTCAAGTAGATTTGGAATTTGTGATTATTAACCTGTAACCTAACTTTAAAATTTTTTGACAATTCTAATCATGAATATATACAATAATCAATGAAGTCAAACATACCGGAATCAAATCCCAAACCATTTACAATCGATGGAAGAAAGAAAAAGATCGAATATTCAGGAATTGATACACTAAAATATATAATTGAGAGCATATAGACTTTCTGGCAAACAACGTAATAAAACAAATTAATAGCATTAATTGATTTTAATCTATCTATAGATAATATCTGTGAACTTACCCAATTTTTAAAAGCCTCGACAATCTGATATTTATCTTGGTTAGTTATAGAAATTTGTCCTGAATCAATCTGTATACGATTAATGATCATCTTGCGTTCATCATTTGTAAGCCAACTAGTAGTTTCCGGATCATCGGCGATTAAAAAATAGGAGAAAAATGCAATCAAAACTGTTATCAAACCATCAATGAGAAAGATCTAAATTTCAACAAAAAATCAAATGAAATAAAAATAACCTATAATTGTAACGAACAAATAAGAATTTATGCGTACCCATTGCCAACCACTCAGACCAAAGTTACCATCCAAACCCATCACACAGAATGCCATAAATCCGCTAAATGCACCAGCAATCACACACCCAGCGGAAAACATACTAGTTCGATAACCTTGCTCGGATCTTTTATACCATTTTGTCATATGAAATATGATACCAGGAAAAAGGCCGGCTTCAAAAATTCTCAATAAACTGCTTGTTAACAATAGTTGAAAATAATTTTTCACCTTAAACAGGAATAATAACGGGAATAATAATTCAGAATCAAAGATTACTACGGTTATAAAAGAAATGTTTAATACTTACGAATGTCATTGATGGTTATAAAAGAAATATTTAATACTTACGAATGTCATTGATATCACTACGGTGCCCTATGTAACGAAACTACCAAATTAGTAATGATAAAAAGAAATAATTATTTATGATATTATCAATATTTAAATTTTTAAAAGAATAAACTTACTCCAAATTGAAGGTTTGGTTTTGACTAATATAATATTGGATGGCACTCCACACAACACATAAGTTCTACAAGAAAATAAAAAAATTCAAAATTTAATCAAAAAGACAGAGGTAATTCGTTTACTAGAAAAGATACACATACACAAAAAAAGTACTTATAGACCAGTTATATTCAGACCCGGTTAAACCAAGGTCACTTTCCAAGTTAGCTAACTTTGCGTTTCCAATATTAATTCTAATAAAAACGATACAACACAATTAATAGTAGTTTAAATTATGAAGCAAATAAGTTAACCTTAAATACCTATCCAAGAAACAAATTGTGTAGAGGAGTGTAAATAAAGGAATGATTTTTATATCAATCTTCCTTAATAATGCTTCTTCTGAGACATTTGTTACGATTTCAATTTTATCACCCAGATCACCATTCCATGATCCAGTTTTCTTTCCTATATTATCATTCCTTAATAATGTTTCTTTGACATCTGTCGCTGATCCAATTTTCACCCCAACATTATCATTTAATAATCCTTCTTCTATGCCATTTGTTACGGTTTTAATTTTCTCATTCATGCTATCATTTGGTTGTTGATACTACGTATTTTGTGTAAAATTTTTAAATGATCACTCTAAACATAAAATAATTCATTATAACAGATAATTTACAACTTATTAAGATTGTCTCACTGGAGCATTTCCTATACATGAGTGATGCTAAGGAAAAACCAGACCTTGGGCTATAAGTTTAATATTTGTTGTTTACTAGACTCAGCCATAATTAGAGACATATATGGGATCTTGCTAAAAAAAAATTACTCTCTGAAACTACGGGTTGTAGACATTAAGACATCAAATAACATAATAACATACGACGGTGACTTATGGCACAAGGAGATAGCTACCTCTGACCTTCCAAACGTCTGCAACTATAGATTTTATGAACAAAATTTAGTGACCATCTAATAAATATGGCCAAATTTGGGTTTTTTTTTTATTTGAATGACAGAAAGGAAAAATGCATCATATATGTCGCCTGTTAGCTGAGTGCGGTAAATAATAAAGAATAAGCTTTAAAGCCCGAAACCAGGTTTTCTCTTAGCGTTGCTTACATCAAATTATATAACGAAAGATAAGAATTTCCAATGAGCGCAAATTTATGAATACATAATTGGCATAGATTATAGGCCTTGAGTACCATTTTTAACTTAACGTTAATAACGCTCGCCTGCGCGTTATTTTGAGTTATTTCACATCGATCTAAATATGAATGTTCTTAGAATTTTCTTAACATCATTTCGGAATCATGCATGTTATTTTTAGGTGGAGGAAATAATAAACTATTTAACATAGTAAGACAAAAGAATTTTTTATTTTAATATAGAAATCTATAAAAAAAAACTATGAAATTTACCTTGAAATTTAAACTTTTTCCTCTAATTGTAACTATTTTGTATTCTAAATAAATTTTTATAATTAAAAAGGCCCTAATTAGAAACCAACTTTCTTCCTTTTTTAAATCTTTTTTGTTTCGATGCCACGATTCCATTTCATCTATTTTAACAGATCTCAAATTAATTAAAAATTCTTTTTATATGATTCCACATCGCAACACATATTTTTCATAACAACAACTTGTTTGTAATTTCATGATAATAACACCGACCAACATTCCATTCCAAAGTCATTTCCCATTTGAAAGTATTTGAAGCCTTAAAGGTCATCCTTTTTAATTCCATTTTGATAACAAAACCTTTGTTTTTCCATCTTACCGATTTTTGCGATTTTGATAATAAATAATCGCCTATATTCCATTATTATCTTTATAAATAATAATAATAATAATAATAATAATAATAATGAACATTATGCGTTTAGGTGGGCTGATCCCTTCTTTCCTTTTTTTCAAGAATTTTTTTCTGTTCTTATTCTTTCTTCGAACTGGAAATATAACAAAAAAAATAAATAAATTGAGCACGTTAAAAATAAATAAACAAATAAACAAATGAACAAATGAACAAATAAATAAATAAACAAATAAACAAATAAACAAACAAATATATATATATATAATGAAAATAAATGCATCATCTCTTTCAATTCAAAATTTTTACTTCTTCATTTATTTAATGGCTTTGTTCTTGAGTTCTATGTTGGTCAATTCGTCTATTCTTCGTTGGCCAAGTCTTTCACAATACTCTACCAAGAGTCATGATTTTTTTTTTATGATCAAATTATAAAATTATTTTTTGGACAAGGCCAACATATTAATACTGTAATAAAATATATAATTAATTAACATGTTTGTTCTTCAG